TTTAAAATAGCATCACCTTTGATCTTTTAAACAGCGCTACCTTCCAGTTCACTCAAGCACTCAAAGCAGTGCATGTTGAATGAACTTGAACACTACCACTGACTCGAGTGCAGCATAGAAACTTGTGCAGAAGCTCTCTGTTTTGCAGTTTGAACCTTTAATATTCGTCCCAGAACACTCTTAAAAGCCTAGCATTATGTATTTACCAAAGGGTTTTATTTGCAGATTAATGGTTGCTGTGATTAACTTGCACAGGAACTGCTTGCTAAGATCCAGATGCTTGGCAGCCCATTAAATCTGCCTCTGAATGGCTCTTCATTACTGGGCTACTGCTTTGGAGAGCGTGTGGCTTCACACGGCAGCCGGAGCCCTAGTGTGCTTAATGCGGTTCCAGACATGGGGAGCAAGAGCAATAGCAGGTTGCAGACCAGAAATGACCAGTACTAGGAGGTTAATAGTGTAAACAGCCCATGTGTGTGGGGTCCTTTGCAAAATGCTGAAATACAAGTTTGACTTGGGATTAGACACGTGCTTGCTTTGGAGAAAAAAAGAGATTGGGGTTTGCCTATTCCAAAGATGGAGTGGGTTTCCTTAATGGAAAGGAACTAGAATAGTAGCACCTGCAGCTATTCATTATGTCATGATTATGTGCATTTGGCTGTCATGCTCTCGTGCTTTGGAGCAGAAACCAGTCTCCTTGTCTCCTCGGGAAGATGGCCATCCTAATACGGGGTATTGGCCAAGAGGCTTGTATGCTATTCTCCAAGGCCAGAGGCACTAGGACAGGACAGGCCAGGCTTGCTCAGCGCTTCCTAAAACCAGTTTAGGCTTGGTGTGGCTTCTTTATACTCTGTTCTGCTTGCCAAATCTTCTACCGGTGTTAACTTGGCTTCTGTTCAGCAGCCCTGGGAAGGTTTCTTTTAGATGCAAAAATATTAAGGTTCCTTCTTGACTGCAACTTATAACAAGCTCGTATGCCGAGGCTGGCGTGGCTGGCCAGTCCCTTGCAAGTAGTTCCTCAAGAGCTCTTATGGAAGCTGGCATTGTTCTCCTCCCCCCTGGGTCTGTGCGACTGTAATGCAGTGAGCAATTTCCCTTTACCCTTGTTGCAAGTCCAGGGCATTTTTGGGGACTTGTTACAAAGATTTTTTCCAGCACACTGATTGCCAGAAATTCAGGACCGCTCCTCTCCACAATTCAGGATCGCTCATCTGGCTCTGATCCACAGAAATCTGGATCAATGACTTGTGTGTAAAAACTTCCCATCGTGGGCTCTTTTGGGACCAAATAGGCATAACTGGATGCCTGAAGGAAGGGGTAAGCAAGCTGCAACAGCAAGGTAACAAACAGTTGTACAGGATTTCACAATATCGTATGCTGAAGCCGCTAGTTTTGCAAAACACAAACCCTGTTTCACACTGGAGCAGGGTCAATTGGGTTAGTTTTCAGACCCCAAATTGCCCGTAATAAACTTTTAAACTCCTTGCATCAAGTTGACTAGTCTTGGGAGGGGAAGACGAGTGGGGAAAGACTACCTAAAGATTGCAGGAGCTGTAATGACGCTTGTGTTTCAGAAGAGGGGTTTTCCACCTCTTTGCATAGGAGCAGTTGGGGTATCTTGCAGGTCTTCTATCAAGGCGTTATGTTAAAGCAGTTTTGGCTTCTATAAAACAGCCATGGTAGTTGGCTCTAGGGATGGTTTTAGGGCATTGGGGGGCCAATCTTTTCGACAGGTGCACCATAAGTTAGCCCTGTACCCTCTAAGTGCCATTTTAATCTCCTTCCCGTGTACAATCTCCTGCTCTGCTTCCTGCCCTGTGCTCCTTGCCTGATCTCCTGCTTTGCCTTCTGCTTCCAGCCCCTTCTGCTGCCCCCCTTGGATTAAGGCGTGTTGTACTGCAGGGCTTTCTGCTTTTTTGCAGTACAGCGTTCCTGGTTAAAAGGTGCCAGGGTTAAGTGCTTGTTCTTACTGCGATTGCTCGACTTCTGTGTTGCAGTTCTTCTTCAGCCTGATTTTCATTTAAAAAAACCAAACAAACAAACACAAAACTGGCCCTAACTGGAGACTAACTTACTGATGCCTCTCATTTCTGATGACTGCTGAAGAAAGGGCCCTTCTCTCTAAAACAAGCTATTTATCTTTATTTGCAGTCCTAGATGTACCTAGTTCTTGGTTAATTTTTTTTCCTCTGTGTTCAGACCTCTGGCAGTAAATTGAATTTCTTTTTATGGTCAGTTCAGTTACTTTTTAGTGGCTGAGCAGCAATTAAATTTCCCTTTTTGATCTTTATCCTGCAGTGGAAGTCGCCCTTAACTCCTTGGTTCTTATCTTGGATGTGTTTACTGAGCCCGTGGTGGTTTATCCTGTTAGGGTGGCTGGACCTTGCTGGTTAGGTTTAATGGCATTCCCTGCACGTTGCTAAACATGCCCTGGGGTTAACTTTCTCCTAGGGCAGAGGTGGGCAACTTCCTACAAACAGTGCTGGTAACCTGGCCTCCGTGGTGGGCTGCCAGCTGTCTGCTCTTGCATGTGTATGCATGCACCTTGCAGTCTTTCTGCTGGCTCTTGCCACGAAGAGCCACAGGCGTGTGTAGCTAATGACCATGCATGGGGGCAAATTGTGATTAAGTTGGAGAAGCAACTCGGGAGGGGAAAGGCAGAACATGGCATAGGAGTACTCCAGTGACCCAGCTGCTGTGGGAGGCAGATATCTCCCAGATGCTGCAGATCATATCCAAATCCTTGATGGGTCATAGGTGGCCATCCCCTGTCTTAGGGGTATCATTTCCAGCCATGTAAGTAAGATAGGTGTCTCATAATTAATGGATGGTTATTCTCTCATTTAATGTTGTGGCTGGTAGCACATCACAAATGGCCATCCTTGCATTCTCCTCGAGACAGGCGAGTTTTATTCCTACCTCTGTAGATAAATGGGCTCTTACATCAGTAAGAGGGTTCCTGGATCCGCCCCCCCCCCCCCCCCAACATACCCTCTCTCAAGCTGTTACCCCTTCCTGCCCCATGCTCCCACCCCCTCTTTCCAGGGGGGAAAGTCTGGCAGGGGCTTCCCACCCCCTTGTCAGCCAGCCCTCATTGCTCCAGCTAGAGAGCAGAGGGGCAGAGCCAGCCCTGCTCTCTGGAGCGCAGATGGCACAGCCCAGCCCAGGGCTGCAGAGCATGCTGGGATGCTGGGGGACTCTGATTTAACTTCAACCAGGAAAGGGTCTAGGACAGAAGTTCCCTAAACTGGTTTGACCTAAATCAATTAAGCCTGATACTACATTCAGCCAGGTTTATCTTCAGCCAGTTTTGCCCATTCTGAAACTGGTTTATGTGCACTAAACTTCTGTTCAAATACAGGTTTTAAACTAGTTTCTGATCACTTAAACTGGTTCATGTGTAACTTCTGTCCCTAGCCAAGAGGACTAATTAGTGCTCTAGTAACTATGCCTTTGCAGTCCGTATCTTCTAAAAGGGAACTAAAATTCAGTTCATTTGTGTCAAAAAGCTGGTCAGCCTTGCAATAGTCTCAAGCCACTTTCAGGCCAATGGATGGCAGTAGGAGGAAAGCTTCTGATCTAGCTATGAACTTTCATGGGTGGGAATAGCTCCAGTACAAATTATCATCCTTTATAAAATCTTGTGGGCAATTTGCAGTCCTATACAATGAGGCTTCATTTTAACCAGAGACTTTAGTGCATGTGATTGTAGGCTGTAGTCGCTGATATATTGGAGTGCAGCCTAAAGAGTTGCACGGTAAACTCAATCTCAAGCTCTTGGTAAACAGAACAAGACTACATTGGAGCATCCCTTGTGGGCTGGGATAATGGAAGATGCTGGCCTCTCGCAGCGGGGTTTTTGGCATGCTACTAACAGTTGGCCTTAGCTTTGTTAAATCTGTCTAGAACGAGCCGTGTGGCTAAAACAACGTGCGGCCGCGTGTCCCGCTAACACGTGCAGGCTGTTATGGTACAGAATTTTTTTTCTTCTTTAAACTTCAGTCGCTTGTCATAGTTGGAAGCGCCAACTGGAAACCCATTTTGATATTGGTATTTGCTGCAAGCGGTAAGACTTTGGAGCCTTCCCAAATACCACATTATAAACCTGAAAAGCTTGCTGGCAGGTTGTGAATAGTTAACTGGCAGTCGGATTGTTTACAAGCAGGGTTTCTTTGCTTTTAAACATAGGACTCTTGAGCTGCCTCCTTCATTGGCTCAACCAAGATGCAAATGTTTCGAAGGGGAAACGTGGAGTAACTTACTGAGTTCTGTAAGCTTTTTTCCCCGTCTAAATGTCGGTGACCTGCTGCAACCTGCAGTTTTCAACCAAGAAATCAAATGACAAAATCAAGCGCAGAAAAAGTGGATGTGGTTACTTTTGCAAGCACAGTTCCTGTACCGTATGCGTGCATCGTAGTTCAGAACAGGATCAGATGGGAGAACTTAATTCCTCTATTATGTGCCTCCCTCCATTGTGTGGTGTGTAGTCTTCTTTTTTTGTTTTTTTTAACGGGGACGGGATGGGTATTTGAAGTCTTTGGGGTTTGTTTTTGTTTTATTTTTTTTTAAACAAACCACCCCAGCTTGGATTGCATATCCCATGTCATTGCGCCTCATTCTCACTCCAGTATAGACTGGTAACCCTGAACTAACTTCTGTCTAGCGATCTGGACAAGTGGCCATTCCTATAAGAACTGGGCATCCATACAGTAGTAACACCTCCTTTCTAGATTAGTCCGTCTTAAATTTTGTCCAAAGCCATGCTTTGGAGCAGTTGTGGGTTTAAAAACTCCCTCTAACTTATTGCTTTGATCTGCAGTTCTCTTGGCTGCCTCATGCAAGTTTTGACGCTGGTAATCTTTGATCTCAACCTGGAAGCGTGCCCCCCCAGCAGAGAGCACAGAACTGAATGTTTGTGCTTCAACTCATTTTGAAATGAGGCTTTGTTCTAAATACCCACAAAGTAAAACCTTCTTTTCTTTTGTTTTTCCTTCCCATAGGCACTGGGTCAAACATCCTCTCTGCCCTTCAGGATGTATTCTGGTTCTCAAAGTCCAAGTTTGAGAAACAGCTCCAGATTATTTCCGTGCTGCAGTGGGTTCTGTCTTTCCTTGTCCTGGGTAAGTAATGCTTTTAGTCTACAATCAATGGGGGAAAGAGCTTATTCTGACGGTCGGGTTTAACCCTAGGTTTCCCATTCCTTAGGAATATTAAGTTGGAATGGCTTAGCTAACCCATCATTATGTGCTGCATGCGTGTTGTACATAAGCATGGCAAAAAGTGGCTTGCCGGTGTTGGAGGATCACTTCTTTGAATGGCTGACTTGGATCAACCAGTGAGCTTTTTATTGCCATCACTGTTCAAAGTGTCTGGAAAAGTTTACTGTTGGCCACTAAGACCATGCAACCAAGAGGGGGAAAATTCACCCACTTTCCTTATAGCTGCAAGGCTGCTGCCCACAGCATATTCTCCAGTGCTTTTTTCAGCCCTGTCTTTAAATGGTGCTGGCATCATTAACTCAGAGATTCCTATCTGCTGGGCGATTGCAGCACTATTTGGCATGGCTGGTGTTCAACTGAGAGAGCCCGCAACAATTGCAGCTAGTCATCTTGCGCATGATGCTTTAATGCAACGGGCAGGTAGGCTGCAGTTGGCTTTTCCCTCCTCCTTTTGAGCTTATTGATAATTGAAGGTTTTGAAGTGGGACACAGGACTCTTTACCAACAGGCACAAAAAAAATCCTTATTAAAGCACCAGAGATGGCTTGTCTCTTCTGTTCCATAGCAACTCAAACCACACTTGAGTCAGTGGGCCAGTTGGTGAGACTGCTCGAGATGAAGTGAGCAAAGCAAAAACTAACAGGCTTGTCTGAACTACTGCCGGCTCATCCCAGACTCTGGGACATCAAGTGAACTGTCCTTTCCTTTCTCACCGATGCTAGATTTAACATGGCTTCTCCCACCAGTTTGAAGGGCTTAAAACTGACCCAGTTGCAAAGAAAAAGCATGTCTTGGGAAACATCCTGTACCCTGAGAGGCTTTCATATGAGGGGGAAGGAAATCCTGCTGTGGGTAAAGCTCTCATGAGATCCAGTGACCCAGCTGCAATAGCTAGAGAACCTGTTGATCTGGAGGAGGGGAGAGTCCTGTTGTTAAGGATTAACAACCTCACATTGAGACTAAGCCTTAAGTATGGAAAGCATCCGGCAAGGCGTGTTTGTGCTAATGTGCAGCCCCTCCACAGTGACTTGACATTTGCTCTCCTCTCCTTTTTGGCAACTCCCAGGTGTTACTTGCTCTATCATACTTGTATACATCCTCTGCACAGACTGCTGGGCAATTGCAGCACTGTATGTGGCATGGCTGGTGTTCGACTGGGATACTCCAATGAAGGGTAAGCATTACAAAACACTGAACACTGCTGCTTGCTCCTGTGTTGGGGGGGGCTGTACATCAGGGCTGTGCGAAATGGCACTGTTTTGTTTCGATTTGAAACGGTGGTTGTTTCGTTTTGTCAAACCAGTGTTGCTGTTTCAATGTCTCGCCCATAGGCTACAATGGGGAAGCTCAAAACAGCCTATAACTTTGTCATTTCTGGCACTCTGACTTGGATGAAACTTGCAGGGATGGTAGCCCCTTCTGAGGGCATGAAGCTTGCCAAGTTTCAAGGAGATGAGTGCAGGGGTTTGGGGGAAACTGCACCTCAAGCTGCAGACAAGCAACTCGTGACATGGGTGACACTGTTAAGGTGCAGCAGGCCTGCTAGTTAATGCCTGGTGAGGCCATGAAGCCTGCCAGCTGTGGAAGAGATTGGTGCAGGGGTTCTGGGGCCTGCACCTCTAGCTACTGACAGGCAAAACTCGTGCCATGGGTGCTTGTGGGACTGTCCGTCTTGGGGCAGAGGGGGTGAAAACTGCAGGCCTGCCAGGCCCTGCTGTGGCCACGAAGCCTGCGAGCTGTCAAGGAGATAGGTGCATGGGGAGTCTGAGTTCTGGGGTCCTGCACCCCTAGCTGCTGACAGGCAAAACTTGTGACATGGGTGGGTGACACTGTTAAGGTGCGCCCTTGCTCGGCTGACCCCAAGGCAGAAAGCAGGGCAGTTCAAACAATGCTGCCTCTTATGCAGTTTTCCCATCCCTCCCCCAGAGCACTGGGCTTGGAAGGGACCCCAGGAAAGGGTGCCAGTCACTGGCCAGCTACACAGTCAATAATGAGAGCACTCCTTCCCCCTCCCTCTCCTTACTTTAGTTTGTTTCCCTGCAGGCAAGCCCAGCTAGAGCTTCGAAACTCAGTGTTTTGAAAATTTCGAAACGTTTCGACTTGCCTCGTTTCATTTCAGGGCTGTTCTGAAGCTCTTGTTTCGTTTTGATGTTGCTGTTTCAAGCCTGAAACAAAACTGCTGGCAAAATGTCATACAGCCCTACTGTACCTCCAAACTGCCATATTTGGGAGAATGCCAAATAAGTTTTTTCCCCTAATTTTCATAGGCAGGCTCACTTCTGAATAAGTGTGGCTGGCTTATGCCTTAAGGTGTAAAAAATGTATATGAAATTCTTATGTCCAGATAGTGATTGCAAATAATCCTCTTGGTCAAAAATAGGATTTAGCAGGAGATTTAGATGCCGGGCACATTGGTAATCTCAGCAACCCATTGCCCTGACTTTTTTTTTTTTTTCTTTTTCTTTCTTTCTCTCTCACTCACACTCACACACAGAGCTTTGACAAGATTGAGTCCTCATTCTGGCAGTCCTGACTTTTAAAAGAAGTGGTCAAACTATTTTCTTTTAAAGTCCTTGTGTCAATACTGCTCTAAAACTTGACTCCTGGGTTCTCTTGTCTGGCACTTCTGCAGTAGTCACAACTCTGCCATGCTCAAGTTGCTCCTGTCTGAAGTCGGGGGGTGATGCAGGTGCTGCACACTTGGTGCTTCTCACAGTTGTAATGCGGGATGGTTTCCATGAGTGTCTGCATGGTTCTGAGGTTTCTGGTTGGTGTCAGCATTGACAGGTCCTTCCTTCTGAGTTTTTCACTTTTTCACAATACATTTTCTTATTTTAAGGTGGAAGAAGATCCCCGTGGGTCAGAAACTGGGCCATGTGGCAGTACTTCAGAGATTATTTTCCAATACGGGTAAACACCTTTCACTTCAGTCAGCTCTTAATCTCTTACTGCTCTTAAGTGCTTTGACTTTGTGACTCTCTTAGACGTTTTGTAGGAAGCAGAGTTTGAACAGAACTACTGCTTTTTCCCTTTTGTTGATCTTTTTTTGTTAAAGCCAGTCTGCTTTTTGCCTTACAAATCTGTTGCACCCCTATCAATAGGACTGTCATACGCTTTTGAGATGACTCCCCAGTGACTTGAAGGCATCAGTTGGTCCACTGCTTTGTGTGGATGCTCTTCAACAAAAGCATCTCAGCAGGGAGGATGTGTCCTGCCACTTATCTCTGGCTCCTGTGTACAAAGGGAGAATGCAAATAAATGCTTATCACCCACGACCAGCCAGGCACACGCTCCGCTGCCGACTCAGACCTAGAGCCAGTACCAACATTGTGATGCAATTGGGAACTGATGCTGGCTGCTTCTTGCTGCCTGCCTGGATGAATGTTGGTGTTGGCTGAACTCCCCTCTGCAGTCCCATGCTCCTGCCTCTTGTGTGAGAGCATGGCTGTAAGGGGAGGGCAGAGTTGGTCCAGGCACGTTGTCAAACGTACAGCCATGGGACTTTTTCCAGACGCACAGGAGTATTGACATGGAGCATGAGCTGTTCTAAGTAAACTGAGATAGTGAGCCCCTTCTCACGGATCAGACCCCCCATCCTCCCCTCCCCTTACTGTAGCCAGGTAACTAGAAATCACATGTTCTTTGTCCCATAAAGGTGCATAGTATGTCTAGGCATATTTTTTTAGGCTCATAGGACCTACATAGCCAGGTGTGGAGGTGGGGTGTGTATATGGAGGCCTTGCACAGGCCAAAGGGAGGAGAAAATGAGTCTTGTCTGCTAGCAAACACAGCTGAATGCATATGCCTCGACTGCTGCTCCTAGGAAAAGAGCACGGGCTTGCTTGCCATTCTGGGCACTGGCATGAGGGGGTAATGTGGCTTGTTTTCAAACAAACCACTCCTAGGTCTTTGCCCTGACCAATTCAAAATCCTGTCTTAACTTTACCCCCCAGACTGTATCCAGTATGTGTTAAAGGAAGGGCAAGATGGGTCGAGGGCACCAGCAGAGGCTGGAAGCTGTGCACACCCTTAGCAAAGACCAGTCCCTGGCAGATCCTGTATTCAAAGCTGCTCCTGTGCTCATGCATGGTCAGCTTCTGCTGGAAGGTGTTGGAGATAGGCCAGTGGCATGTGCATTGGAGGCGGCGCAAGTGGTACCTCTCATTGCACAGAGGGGCAAGTGCTACAACTTGATGCCAAGGGGGTGTTGGCTCTTCTAGTTGGGTTAGAGCAAAGAATTTAAATGACTTCCAGTGTGGCAAAAGAACTGAGGAGCATATGAGTGTTTTTCATGCTGTGGCTTCTGTCTTTCCAGCCTTTGTGTAATTACATAAACTGATATTGGTCTGTTTGGCTCTTGGAGCTTGTAAAGTGCAAAACAAGGAGGTGGGCTGGACTCTTGAAACCACACAACCCCTTGCAGCCTTGCTGCAGTTGGGGAAAATTACACTCTTATGGCAGGACTTTGCCCTGCCTGGCTCTTCCCCATAGGTGTTGAGCAGCTAAGCTGGGCTTCATGATTTGCAACAGAGACAACATAGCTTAATTTCCCTTCTGTATCTATGTTGGCCTGTCCTAGACGGAGTCTAGCAACTGGTCTGAACACTGAACTTAAGTGCACTGGTGTCTTGCACAGCTGGAGATGCAACACCTGGTTAAGTCCATACATGCTCTAGGGAGGGTGCAGTTGCAGCAGGAGATGCAGAAGTTGCAGTCTCAGTCCACGGGAGATTGCAAAATTGCCTTTCACTTTGGATTGAATAGGAGAAACTTTCTACAGGGGGACGGATCTGAGTTCCGCTTAGAAGTGACCTAAGCAATTTTTTTTAAAGTGGGGAGGGAAATGTTAAAGGGGCTATATCGCAAGACTTTGGGCTCTTAGTTAACTTGTGGCTTGGAAAGCTCCTGGGTTCTCCACCAGTCTGATGGGGAGTCAGAGCTGCCTGGCTGTGATGGGGCCTATAGGGTCCCCAGCCCAATCCATGTGGTATAGCTGCACCCTCCGCACCCTGGAAACTCGGGCTTCATCAGCGATGCTAGTGTTTCCAGTTGGGTGTTGATGTAACTAATGTGTTTTCATGAACTTCTTAGGTTTGGGGCAAATCTGCACCTTGGAAAAACTCCCAGGCAGCTCTATGCATGCAATTGAAACAGCAAGCAAACTAGCATGGGCTGTGCTACAAGATAGGGCATTAAACAAACAGGTACTGGCCCAGACTGATCTAGTGATCTCAGTCAAGGAGCAAGTAAAATGGGCCTGTCACACACCACCTCTGGGACATCCAACAAATTGCTTCAGCTTCCAGCCCTGGCCTCTGCTTAGTCTCTCCTCTGACAACTTAAGCACACAACTTGCCTGAGCTTCTTAATGCTTTGAGAAACGAGATGAGGCTGCTGTGTTTCCTGAAGTACAAAGCCAGGTCGCTCGGGTCTGCCACAACTTGGACCTGTCAGGGTCCTGGTCTGGGAGCAGACACACTGGCAGCTTAGTTACCTGGACAGTGTAGTTATTAATCTTTTATGTTAACAGTTTTGAACCAAAAAGAGGCCAAAGCCAGTAGGAAAATAGTGTGCACCTGAGTGAGGGACTAACATAAGAGAGATGGGGCTGAGCAGGGGAATGCAACTAGGTTACAGAAAATACAATGTTGGCGAACTAAGCCCAGGGCACTAATCTTACATTGCATGCTCGGAGAGCTGGAGTGTGCTTCCCGAGTGTCCGTTCCCCTTGTTTAAAGCCCGTGCAGGGGACGGAACAGCCGTACTGCTGAAAGTGCAGCCAGCAATGCAGTTAGTGGGGGTAGCAAGCAAGAGGGCTGAACACTTCACCAGGCCAGCAGCTTCCTAGGCTTGTGCTTCCTGCTCCGGGCTTGGTGAGCACGAGTTTGACAAATCCGTGCCGGCTGCTTGTGATCAGTCTTTCCTTCTCTAGATGCTTGCACATGGCCTTCCTTAAGAGACGCTCCACTAACTTCCTCGGTATTGAGGTGAAGCTAACCAGTCTGTAGTTCCCTAGGTCCTCCTCTTTTCTTGATCTATATAAGAAAGGCACTACATTGGCCCCTCTTCCAGTCCTCTGGTACTTGACCGGTCTCCTGTGACTTCGTGAAGATCGTTGCCAAGGGCTCAGAGCTCTTTAAGTCCAATAATGTGGGTAACTGGGCTTTGAAGGAGAATTGCAGTGATCTACAGGCTGGTGCACAACAGCCCTGTAGGAGTAGTAAGGCCTAATCTTTTGATGCAGCCCTTTGGACGGAGTGCAGCGGCAAACATCCAGCTGGCTAGTAATGGCTCTAGAGTGCAGGATGATGTAGTCCGTCTCCAGAGTGCAGGTACCGGTGTGCCCTACTGATCCATACTTATCTCTTTATGATGATGGTGGCGAGTGTCAAATTCTAAAGGTCTTAATTACAGTCAGGGAAACTCCCAATGAGCCAGGATCTGTGCACGTGCATGCTTGCACTGCTTCTCTTGCTGAGCAAGCATGCTGGAGATAAGCCATGCCTAGAGGCCTGGGTGTGGTAAGTGCTAATTCCCTCAAGTTCTGCTAGAACTGGTCAAGAGATGTCCTCAGACCTAAGCTTTATCTTGGCACTGTTTAAACACTTGGGAACACTTTAGTGGAGTTGCAGTGGTTACAGCCAGAGTAAGTATCTTTGCCAGGGGCTGAGCCTTGTCAGGAGCTTTTGCTGCTTGCTGCTGAACAGCTTGGCTCTGGCTGAGCTCACTGGCATCCAGGAAAAGCTTTCTTCTCTTTTTCTAGCTGCTTTTGTATATCGGTAGGTTAGCAAGGGCCCATGTGGGTCTTGCAGCAGATCACCCATAATACCTGCTTCCAATAACGTTCAGTTCCACAGGCAGCTCTTTCTGCTGAAATGAGACAGATGAACCTGGGTGGCTCAGATCTGAGGCCTGCAACCAGCCATGGGCACACCTAGAGCTCTGAGAGCAGCATAGATGGTGAGGTGCATCGCCATGTATAAAACGCCATTTTTCTCCAGTTAAAAATGACCTAGAAACTGTACTAATATGCCAGAGCCTGGGGTTGCATTATTTGGTTTAAGGTTGAGCAAAAATGAATACAACCCTGTAGACTATTTTTAGGAGGGTAGGGCTATGTTGCCTGGAGTAGTGGAGGGCTCTCTGCAGAGACCTTGCAGCCTGTTGGTCCAGGTGAGAGCAGCCTCTGGCCGGGTCTTACTCTGCTGGGGAAAAGGCAAAAAAAAAAACCTAACCCTAGCCTTTCCTGCACACTCCTTGCAGTCCTACCTTTTGTCCTCTGTGCCCTTTCTTGTACATGCATGTTTGCTCTTCAGTCTGGCTTTTCTTGATTGCTCCTATTGTTCACTTCTTCCTGTCGGGCAGCAGCATCTCTTGTTGCATTCTGCCCCCAGCCCTGTTGCCCTGCTGCCTTGGCTGCGGTGTATTCCTTCACTCTCCATCTCCCAGTTAGAGCCCACTTGGGGCTGCTTATGTTTTCCCTCCATCTACTTGACACTTGGTCCCTGGAAGCCCAGGCTGCTCGGGCAGGCACTGAGCACATTTTCCAGGCATGGCAGCTGCAACTTGTTGGTCCACCCTGTTTTGGCCCCAAAGCCTGCGTTAAGCTGTGGAGGAAA